AAGAACCCTTTATTTTTATCAGCATAAGCAGTTTGAAGCACGTTATCAATCGCTTTTGATAATAAACGAGAGTTTGAAAATAGTTTGCATATTGGTTTAATTAGACTCGTATGATCCTAATTTACGACGTATTGAGAGCGAAAGAGAGAAGAGAGATGTGGAAGAAGGAGAGGAAAAGATAGAGAATGAGAGAGAGCGTGTGTGTTTGAGAGAGAGAGAGGGGGGGGGGGCATTGAACATGTTCATTTACAATAATATAACTCCTAATAATATTTATGATTGCTTTTATTTCAATAGAATTTTGCAGTAGGAAAGACAAGTGACTATTCATCCGTTGCAATTACGTTGCGCTAACAGTATCATTACAATCTAAAAATCAGACACAAATATCTTTCTTCAACTGATCGAAAAAAGTCTTTCGCAAACACAACCTAAGAATATAAACTTTCAGTTTCAGCGATGAACCTACAAGCACGAAAGCCGTAGCGCAATAACTACCTTTTCATTGGAATCCAGTAGATCTGTAAGTATGTTCTTCACAGCGCCTGCCATGTACTAAAGTGTCGGGAAGAGTAGCAGAACGCGTCTACGTAACCATGGCAACGGTGTCGTCGCCATCTGTCGGTGAAGAAAGTAGTTAGCCGAGAGGAGGCGCCATAGATCTTTACTTCATCAATAATCGCCATTGTGAATGATTCATTATTAAATAAGTAATGCGGTTTTTTTGTGATATCTAGGAAATGGTGTATTTATTTTCCTCGGGGGATATTTTCAATAAAAGACATTAGTAGTATCATTGATTCCAAAATGCAAAACGACTTTGAATACATTGTTAACATCCTTTTCTTATTATCAATCTTTAGTTACTGTCTTCATTTAATTCTAAGTATTAATATACACAGCAATTCTTTCTGTAGTCAGTCGTCAATGATACTGACTGCAGTGACAAACCTCCCCCCCCCCAAAAAAAAAAAAAAAAAAAAAAAAATCCTTCCCAGCATATAATTTACACCAACTCCAAAAGCAAGATAATGAACATATTGCTCAACTTTAATAGAATTCGTGTCCTGCGAGAGCTTGCCTGCATTATCAGGGATCAGATTATAAAGGCTGATCAGCATAAGCAATAAAATCATGCTTCGTATACACCCGTCAGCAGAGTTAAACGAACGGTTAGTTATCATTGTGCGAGGCCAAACCTAAGGAATATTCATTATACATTACATTATACATTACACAGAAATAAATACATCTATCAGTCTAGACATGCATAACTGGATAGACAGATAAATAGATACCTATCAGACAGACTGACAGATATGCATTTACTTCTGCACATATCCACGTGCGTATTCCGAATATTCAGTGGGTCGGGCCACGTAGTTCCAACAAACCGGCCGAGAGCGTCTGGCAAAGGGAACCTCAGGGAAATTTCTCCCAAGGGAATCAAAACATTATTTTAAGAATCTTCCAAGGCTGGAGACAAGTTTGACAAAGAACGTTAAGTAGGCAAATTCTTTACAAGTTTTTTCTGGGAAACTACCAGTATCGGTGGCTTGCTTTCGGCCTGTGAAAGGAGACTTTTTCAAAGAAGATTGCAGCATTAAGAAAGTGAATAGCATGAAGGAAGAGGATAACGTGTAAACTATGTGCATTGTGTAATATTGCAGCAACGCACTTTCTCAACACGTGCTGTATTCAGTACAAAATAAACTGTCGATGACAATTTACTCTGTCCTTGAAATGTGCTGAACAAGGGCATATGTCCATAAAAACCTTAAAAGATTATGAAGGAAAGATTAAAACTGTAAGAAGCTGATATTTAACTGAAGTTGCGTTACGTTGTTACTTTCCTTGTTTGATCGTGTTTATTTAATCTATCTGTCTATCTGTATATAAATTTATATATATAATTATCCACCAGTCTACCCTATGATATTATGAAGTTGAGTTATCTACCTATATGCAGTCTATCATACTAATCTGTTTGAATCTTACCAATTCATATTGTCTATAGGTCTTATATCTATCTGCCCATCTATATATATGTATGTGTGTGTGTGTGTGTGTGATGTTGCATATGTGTCTGTGTGCATGTGTGTGTGTGTGTGTGTGTGTGTGTGTGTGTGTGCATGTGTGTGTGTGTGTGTTGTGTGCATGTGTATGTGTGTGTGTGTGTGCAGAATTATTTTGTGTATAATACATGTTTCGCTCAATGAAAGAGTAACGAGGAACATCACACCTTGAAAATACAGAAGCAAAGTCTATTCTCTCAGTAACTTTATAGGGCATATATCGTATACTTTAGTTTTCGTACGAATTCTATGTAATAAAAAAAATAGGCCTACCATTCGTATATATAGATATTGAAATTACAAAACCAATAGGGTAATTCTCTTGATGTTTCTCAGGGGTCCAGCCGCGACCTCCAGAAAATTGCAGACAAGGAAGACTATTTTTCTATCAGTTACGGATTTTATCTTTTATGTAGGCATATATTAGTTGTTCGCGTCTAATAGCTTTTTCCCTGACTCCTCTCTCTCTCTCTCGAGATCTCGATCTCCGTCTTCTCTCTCCTCTACTCTCTCACTCATCTCTCTCCATCTCTCTCTCGTGCTCTCGTCTCTCTCTCTTTTTCCTGGTTATTAGGTATTCCCTGCTTGAGATCCTACTCGATCAGCAGCGGGAGGAACCGGTTGGGGCCCGCGGTCAGTCGACGCGTACGGAGGATGGTGCTATTGTGATGACAGCTGATGATCGTTCGGGCGCGAGAGACCAGATACAGGTGCAGGCGAGAAGCGGCTACTCTTCAGTCTGACGACGGGATATATTCGTTAGGTGTGATCGCTGCGATATCCGGCTGACTAACGGATTGGTTCTTTTCCCTCATCGGGTGTGGGCAGGAGTCTCCCGGGCTTGTCGTGTAGAGCGTCTCAAGCATTAGGACATCGCTTCAAAGGCAGAACTCGTAGGGCTATCAGCTGGGAGAGTGGTTACGATTAAGCGTTAGAAAGATGCGAAGCTCTTAGTTAACGACGGGTGGATTAGTTATACACTAGGCTGCGATCAGTTGCAGTTGCCGGTTGTCCGGGTTAAGCTCCTAGTGTGGTGCTGGCTTTCGACTTCCTACAGTTCTGCTTCATTTCGTGGTTTCATCAGTCCGTCCGATTCTCTGGTTGGGCTTCTAGCAGAAACTCGGAGTGTAGGTAGCGGTCTGTCTCCTTGCTGTTGAAGAGCTTCTTTCAAAATGACCGATGCAGTAATTCTCTCTCTCTCGTCTCTCTCCCTCTCTCCTCTCTCTCCAGTATTCCTCGACGTGATATTCATCTCTCTTTCACTCCCCTCCCGTCTGTCCTCCTTCTTCTCTACCGTTCTCTTTCTTCTCTCACTCTCGTCCTCTCGCCTTCTCTGCTCTCGCTTCTCGAACCTCGCCCTCCGATCCCTCTAGCTCGTCTCCTCTCTCTCGACAATCATTATCCGAGTGTCTGTCTATGTCTACTCTCCTTCCCTCGAGCCGTCCTTCTCTATCTCTCGAACGATTCCCTCAAGCTATCAGTCTCTCGCCCCCATCTCGTCTATGTT